ATGCAATAAGCAGCAAATCTATTATATTGCAGATTAAAAATAAATCTCAGAAAGTTATGGCTTATCATTTATAGAACAATTTCGATTTGAGTTGATATCTCGAGCTATGGCTTATATTTTTTTTGTTATATAATTTCAGGTGACAATGATCTTTCCATTAAAAGACCAACAATACTTCGCGAATGTTTCACAAAATTATGTAGCCATTTGGAAGTCTCTTGGAATTTTTATCGATGAAGAAGGTAAAGTAATCGACGAGTTTGTTTTTGTTTAGGGCAACCCCTACCCCTTGCCAGGATATTGATTCTTCTAATGAGTTGAAACAACTTAAATTAGAAATGTCCCAAATGATTGAACTTGGAAACTGAATTTCAAATTATATTTTTATTGCTATTATATTTTCCTAATAAATCCCACATATTATACTGTTTTTTAAAATAAAGAACCAATTCAATTTATTGTGCAGGCAGCGTGAGAAACCCAACCATGGGGAATACCAATTCATTATTCCTTGCCATTCATTGTGCCTCTCTTCCTCTTCCCCATGCCAAACCATTATGCCTCTCTTAATCAGAATTCAAATTCAAATGGAGCACCAAAAGTTTTTCACTCTTCCTTCAATCCTTCCCCAACAGAGATTGGGACGTTGGCGTCGATGTTGTGGAGATATCAAAAAGTTTACCGATGACTTGAGTTCGGCTACGGCGCGATAATGTGGCTGAATTAGTGCATCTGTCAAATACTGTTAATGTTTCTTCGCTTCAACTCACGGAGTTTCTGCTCTTGAACAAATTCTGGTCATTGGTTTTGTTTCGAAATGGTACTCAACTGCTAAAGCTTTCCTTTAAATTTTATCTTTTGTAATGATAACTTAAGGGTTGATTTCACATTTCATGCAGCTTATCCCAGTATCTGGCTTCTATGAAGATGGTAGGTTATTTGAAGGTAAATTTATTTTTTGTAATGATAACTTAACGGTTGATTTCACATTTCATGCAGCTTTATCCCAGTTAGAGAAAAATTTGACAGCAACTACAGCTTCACATAACTATGAGCAGATGATGCCAGCTGCTGATGCCTCAGGTGTTTTGTGCTGGTGTGATACAGGACACTCCAAAATCCATTTCTTAGATTTTAAAATATATTTGCAACATTCTACTGAACCAAAATGGTGTGGACTAATGGCATTTCAACAATCTGTCAATTGCTGTTATGGGATAGTGTTCTAAACAGCTGAGACTTTTGTTGCAGCAGGTAAGTAACATGAAATGGAAGCTGATTGTAAAATGTTTGGTTTACAGGTGAATTTGCGTGAAATATAATATAATGTCTATGTCGAAATCTGTTTTTTATCCATTTGTTATGACATCTCTCTGCAGGCAGCAATTGCAATTGCATAGAGACTTCGTACCGCGAGCGTTTTCTTGCAAGCATCCTAACCAAGTAAGTCTATATTCATATATCATTCTATTCAAATTAATGTTTATAGTTCTAGCTTCTGATGAAATACTAATATATTTTAACGTGCTGTGTTCAGGTTTCATTTGATTTGGTAGAAAAGTACCCAGAGGATTGATTTGGTAGAAAAGTACCCAGAGGATTATAATGGTTTTAGAGAGAATGCATTATTTCAAGACTATCATCGACTTATATCTATCAGAACTGCAATGGCAGCCTTCATGGAATAAGTAAGAGGTGATAGCCCCAAATTCGAGCCACAAATAATAGTCATTACTCCTGGAGCAGCTGCTGCTAATGAACTCTTAACCTTCATGAAGCCAAGAAGAGAAGCAAAAGAGCTATTTAACCCAAATTATCAACACTGCTTCTAACAACTTCTTAACCTGCTCAAATATCAACAACCTGCTCAAGCATCAACAAGGAATGTTTCATTTCAAAATTTTAAAGATCGATCTTTGATTCATTGATGATCTTATTTAAATGGGATTGTGATTTTTTATGGTTTTTGATTGAGATTCGATTTTGTTTTCAAATTGGTTATAGAATTATGGAGATTTGATTAGAATTTGATTTGATTCATCATCTTGGAGTTCAAGTTTATACATATAGAAAGATTAGATGTAATAAGGAATATTTTATATAATAGGCTGCTATGCTAATTTAAGGGTGCATTTGGAAAAGCTTTTGATGTAGCAGGTAAGTAACATGAAATGGAAGCTGATTGTAAAATGTTTGGTTTACAGGTGAATTTGCGTGAAATATAATATAATGTCTATGTCGAAATCTATTTTTTATCCATTTGTTATGACATCTCTCTGCAGGCAGCAATTGCAATTGCACAGAGACTTCGTACCGCGAGCGTTTTCTTGCAAGTATCCTAACCAAGTAAGTCTATATTCATATATCATTCTATTCAAATTAATGTTTATAGTTCTAGCTTCTGATGAAATACTAATATATTTTAACGTGTTGTGTTCAAGTTTCATTTGATTTGGTAGAAAAGTACCCAGAGGATTGATTTGGTAGAAAAGTACCCAGAGGATTATAATGGTTTTAGAGAGAATGCATTATTTCAAGACTATCATTGACTTATATCTATCAGAACTGCAATGGCAGCCTTCATGGAATAAGTAAGAGGTGGTAGACCCAAATTCGAGCCACAAATAATAGTCATTACTCCTGGAGCAGCTACTGCTAATGAACTCTTAACCTTCATGAAGCCAAGAAGAGAAGCAAAAGAGCTATTTAACCCAAATTATCAACACTGCTTCTAACAACTTCTTAACCTGCTCAAACAACAACAACCTGCTCAAGCATCAACAAGGAATATTTCATTTCAAAATTTTAAAGATCGATCTTTGATTCATTGATGATCTTATTTAAATGGGATTGTGATTTTTTATGGTTTTTGATTGAGATTCGATTTTGTTTTCAAATTGGTTATAGAATTATGGAGATTTGATTAGAATTTGATTTGATTCATCATCTTGGAGTTCAAGTTTATACATATAGAAAGATTAGATGTAATAAGGAATATTTTATATAATAGGCTGCTATGCTAATTTAAGGGTGCATTTGGAAAAGCTTTTGATGTATTTTTTTTATGGTTAATAGATATAAACAGTAGTAAATAATAACAATCAATAATACTAATAATAATCCGACTATTTAATGATATAATACTTATAGACAAAAACTAAAAACTGAAATAAAAATAAAGAAATGGTTATAAATTAAAACAATAAAAGAAAAGAAAAATATGAAAGAACTTAAAACTGAAATTATTGATTTATCATATTTGATGATAATTTTCTAAAATGAATTATAAATTTTTTTTTAACTAGCATTTTTTTAAGATATGAATTATGTAAGATTTTTGTCAACATCCCAAATTATATATTATTAACATTGTTTTATTTTAATTTGATTTTTGTTTATTTGTGGACTTTTATTAATTAAATAATAATCAGTTAAAAAATTCGTTTTTAGCGTGGACGTTTCTTTTGCTCTTTTTTTTGTTTAAGTTGATTTTTTATTATTTTAAAATAAAATAAAAATTAAATCCTTTTTAATTTATTTGTTGATTTCATTAAATAAAATATTAAAAATATTAAGTTTAAAAAAATTTAAAAAAATTTAAAAAAAATATTTGAAGGATGGGGCACTCCTTCCACCTTTTGTAAGATAACTTTGTTTTTATTTTATTTTATTTTATTTATTTTTTATTCATTTAATTTATTTTGTTAATAAATTTTAATTACTAATCAATAAATAAATCATAATATCTTTAAATTTGATTTTTGTATTCCTTTTAAAAAAATAATAACAAAATAATAATTAGACTTTTTAGAACCCTGACTGTCCCTTTTTCTTTTGTAGGACTTTTTAGAACCCTGACTGTCCATTTTCCTTGTGTAACGGAACTAGACTAATTGTTACAAGGTTGACAAATCACGTTATTGAGGCAAAGATCATGTCTGGTAAGAATGTTGGTAACATCTTTTACATCCCTCGAATGTCTATGTCACCTTCCGAGTCACCGTGGCCATTTAAGTTGATTAGGAGACAGTTCCCAATTATTGTGTCGTACGCAATGACAATTAATAAGTCTCAAGGCCAATCACTTGATACAGTTGGATTGTATTTGCCTACTCCTGTATTCAGTCATGGCCAGTTGTATGTAGCCATTTCAAGAGTTACAAGCAAAAGTGGTCTGAAGATCTTAATACATGATAGTATGAATGTATCAACATCTATCACTACAAATGTTGTATACAAAGAAGTTTTCCAATCTCTTTGTTGATCGGTAAGTACATAATAACAAATATTTTCTTTAATATAAATTGTTTCCGTAAATGCTGTCTAATTTTTGCATAATTTATTGTGCGGGTCAAAAAGTTGAAAACATCGTTTCCAAGCTGGTTGCGTTGTATCTGAAGACTCGTGATAGTTTCTTATTTTGAAGAGTCATCACAGTTTCTTATTTTGTTACACAATCATGATTTCAGTTTACATTTTTTAATGTTGTCAAATAAGTTTGATACACTGAATTTGGCCGAATTAGATGAACTTTTATTGAATTACATAAAAACGAATTTACTGTTACATGACAACATTAGTTCCACGTTTTATAAATTCTCGACCGGCCCCGTGCGACAGCACGAGTTATCGACTAGTATTATATAAAATTAAATCAATCTTATCTTTATCCTTAATGAATTTCTATAAAATTTCATTTAAATTGATTACTTCAATTTTCAAAGATCCACGAGAGTCACATTTATTTAAATTTATTTAAATTACAATTAATGTGGGCCAAGAATGCCAGATGGAATATGGGATTATTTATCTATTGATTTTTTTTTCCTCAATGGGAGAAAAGGTGTATTTGACCGCGAAAAAAATAGTTATTGTATACCCGTTGGTTCATTATATTTAAGTGTATGCGCGTCTTCCTGAAACCCATTCTCTCAAAACCTTTCATTCCTCATTCTTCTTTTGCCACACTCAATCACCACTTCAGAGCCAAACATTCCGGCATGGCGGCGCGTGTGTTTCAACTCATGAATCATCAATTTCCTCTTCCCTCTGGTAATTCAATCAATTCTTTTCCTTCTTCCGATCATTCATGCATGGCGGCGCGTGTGCTTCCTATCGTTCTTTCCACATTTCTTTCAATCTTTTCTTTCCTCATTTACGTTCTTCATCTTTATCTAAATTCATTTCAGATTTTGAGTTCGATGAAAGCAGCATCACGGACTCCGATGATCTACCTGCGATGGACAATTTCATTCATCGAACTGAGGTGCAGGCATACGCTTCTCTCTTGCGTGCTTTCATATACAATACCAACGATCTCAATAAGGTATATGTATAAATCTATGGAATATAATATATAGTATATAAACTATAATAACTATATCATATGTGTTAATAACTTTTGTTTATTGTGTAATTTATCAGGAAAAGCAAAATTTGATAATTAGTCTCATAAAAGAACTCAAGATTTCGAACGATGATCACAATGAGGTTCTTGCTGAGATTAAAAACGATGAAATGGTCCATCTCGTTAGGTATTTTTGTAGTTTGAAAATGTTGTAATAGAAAAAGGTTTAATTTGCTTCTTACAGTATTTGTGTTATGATGTTAACTTGATGAAAAAGTTCAATCAGGGAGTGGAAATCTTTTGACAATATTTCATCTGAAAGGGGCGTCAAATCACCCTTTCCAGCAGTTTCAGCTTCTCAACAGGTAATCATCATTGTCTTGTTAATGTGATCATGTATACAAATCTAGTAATCGTGCATTAATGATTAGCAATTGATCAACACTTCAGATAGCATTACAGTCACGGTTGTAATGTGTCGCGATTCTTGATATTGTAGAGAATTATGATCAAATGTGGCGTCAATTGTATGTAGTTGTTAACAGATGATTTAGAATCTTTAAGCTTAAAGGCTATAGTAGCACGACTACTATTCAATCCTTTATGTTGGAGAAATGTAATGTAGAAACATGTACTGATGATGTTGATTTTTGTTCTTTTTTGCTGCTACCGATTTTGGTTTCAGGATCAACCATTGTCCAGTTTGTCTTCAGTGAAATATGTGCAGGATCCTTCTGTGGAACCGGCAGAAGCAGCATCTTTAAATCCACTGATTGGGGAGAAAGTTTATACTAGATGGGAGCCTGACGGCCCTTTTATTGAGGGTGACATAATTGAATATGACCCTGCCAAGGTAATTTTATCTACAAGTTTATAGCTGTTAAGATTCTTAATCAGATTGATATGTTTAGCATTTTCAGATAGATTGGTCAAAATCTGAATTTTATTCATTGCAGGACATGTATAAAGTGATCTACCATGCTAATACACCAAAAGCGGTTTGCGATTGGATTGATCTGAAAGAGGTACTTCCATATTTTGATACATTTTGAATGAAGCAGCAGCAAACAAATATGACTAGTGAATATTGCAGTCCATAGAGTAAAATGTAGTTTTAAGTCCCTTTGCATCTCATGATGATAAACTACTATTTCTAGGCGCTAGTCCTGAGTTTATGTAATGAATAATGATCAAGTAGATTTTGCAATGAATATTGATCTAGATCTTGATGAATATCCTTTTTATATTTGTTCCATAATGAATGCCAACAGATCTTACCGGAGGGTATAGAATGGGAAGGGATTGATCCTATACCAAGTACTGTCGAACAAAATGGACAAGACAGCGACAATGATAATGCAGGTTTGAGAATCAAGAGAATATGTTTTAAGTTTCATTGCTAGTAACTTAATATTATTCATACTTTTACATATTTGATTGAATGTGCAGAAGAAAAAGATCAGCAGGCACATGATAATGAATGCGACGTCTTTTTATTTCTGGTCAAAACTTAGTAGGAAATTGCAATATCGATTGTGTTCTTAATTTTATTTGAGAGCTTAATTTTAATCAATTATATGTCAATAGAACTATTTTAAGGGTAAAGGAAGTTTAAGCATTATAAATTGATATTAAGCATACATTTTTTTCTTTTCTGAACAGAAAAAGTGAAGATATCTAGAAAGAAGAGTACAATGTGTACTCGAACTCATGAGTCCCGCAAAGCCCGAAAGGGAAAGTAAAGCAGAGCTTCAAAAATGAAAGAAAGTGAGTATACTGTAATCTAAACTGTTATGGATGGACTGATAATTTCAGTTTTCAACATTTTCTTGTTTGTGTGTATGGCAAATAAATTAAGTACTAGTAGTGGAATGATTGTGATCAGATAATAATGCATGTGCCTTCTTAATTTTACAGGTGCATCAAGTCTGTTGTACTGGCTTGGGAATTTAAATGAGGAAGAAAACTTAAGGAAATAAACCATCTTTAGTTTTTTAGAACAGTTCTGTTAAGTGCAATTACTTTAATTGATTTTCCTAAAGTTTTCTGTATACATTTGTAATCTTTAGTTTTTTAGAACTTAAGTGCAACAATTACTTTAATTGATTTTCCTATAAGTTTTCTGTATACATTTGTAATCTTTTGGATCAGCAGTCACATGTTAGTAATCTGTTGGATTTTTAATCCATTGTGTTTACCTTCTTTATATTTTAGGGTATTTTAGGGTTAAATATGTTTGTAGTGCTTATAAATATCTCAACTTTCGCTTTTAGTCTCTATCCACAATTTTGGTCCTTACCTTCAACTTTCATTAACGGAAGCTGACATGGCATGCCACGTGGAAGACAGCTTGGCAAAAAACTGAAAATTCTTGAAATTGCGGGGGTTTTAAACCTCCTCTAAACAAACCCAGAAAAAAGAAATATATTGATTCTGAACTTTTGTTGAACATCTTGCGAACTAGTTTTGCAATAGTAACTATAACACACAGATTCATCGATGAGAACACCTGAACCAGCAGCCTCACAAAATTCACAACCTGAAAAGTTTGATATCCCATAATTCACAACCTGACTTAGTGCAATTTTTCGTAGTGTTCATGAGCTAAGACTGTGGCAGGTCCGTCAAAACACTCTGCAGTCTGCACTGATGACTTGAGAATAAGATGTGATGAAAACTTCACGAGGGTGAGGATTTCATACGGGAATTGCACCCTAACTTTCTGATTATGATGAAACCACCTTCCTTTTACCTTTTTCTGTGTCCTTATGTCTTCAATCTTCAAACATATCCTTTAACTATGCAACATAATGGTTGATCGTCTTAGGTTTGATAATTTAGTGGCTCCGAGAGTCTGTTCTTATTATGTTTATTCAACCAAACCTGAAAATGCCACTTGGATATTCAGGATTGAAATGTTAGTTGAAATGGATTTGGAGTAGAAATTGTCAATAGATTGAAAGCACAATTAAAAGTAGACAACAAAAATTGTAGCGCTTTTCATTATAAGAACACCTGGCTAGAAAGATATTATGCAGAGAAACGGAAATTTGCTAAAAAAAAAGACTGAAAAGTGTATTTTTCTTAAATGCTCAATGATATCAGAATAACTCAAGTTATAGGCTCATGTTTATCTCTACAAATATTTAACAAGTTTTGTTTCACGACTGACTATCAGAATAGCTTTCGATATAACTTATGTTTACGGTTCAGATTCGAGCATAATGATGTAATAATGATGTATTGGATACTATAATTCAGATATTTTTAGCAATAACCCATTTTCTTTTATTATGTATATTGTAATACTGTGTTTGATGAAGTTCTCATACAATAAGAAATGAATTTCCATTATATTTGTTGGAAGCCACCATCGTACAAAGACAAACTTAACAATAGTAGCTTCAGCTGCCCAAACATGACACTGGATTTTCCCTTTTAATTGTAACTTGCACTGTTTAGTATGGTAGACAGACATTTACAGGTTAAATTGAGCTTGTTTCCAAGTAAATTAAATAATGGATCTTGTAAAAACTTTCTCAATACTTTTTGCCTTGCATTTGTTTTCTCTGTACATTTCAATCAGCTCGATGATGAAAGCTGAACCAAAGCCACAAAAGCTCCCCTGTTAAAAAAATCATTAAAAAAATCATTGCAAAATGGACAGTTCATGTTCTTAACCGGAGTCCAACATTGACAGTTAAAGGCAAAACTGTAGAATATTTGGGTGTCTATCACATGTCCATGTAGCTGATACTATATGAAGAAAGCTAGATGACAAGAGCATGCAATGCGTATTACTTGGAGTAAGTGATGAATCCAAAGCTTACAAATTGTTTAATCCAGTTTCTGGAAAAATTATTGTCAGTAAAGATGACAATTTTGAAGAGGATAAAGGCTGGAATCGGGGGAGGACTGCCGAAGAAGTAAAGTGTGACATATTGGTTTGTGAAGGCAATAATGACAGTGAGAATTCCTCCTTTGAAAGTGAAGAAGAAGTTGCAGAAGACACTGAAATAGCAGCAGACCAAAATCAAGAAACAACTACCTCAACATCAAGTGATTCATCTAATGAAGATGCACGAGTACTTGCTGAAAGAAAGATTTGAAAAGTACCTAACTACTTGCAGGGTTATGAAACTAGTGAAGGATTGTCCGAAGATGAGAACTATTTTTCAATGTTTACCTCTCACGAAGATCCAAACTCATTTGAAGAAGTTGAAAGATATGAGAAATGGAGAAAGACAATGGACTTGGAGGAGATGGAGGCAATAGAAAAGAATAAAATATGGTAGCTTACAACTTTGCCTAAAGATGCTAAGAAGATTGGTGTCAAATGGGTGTTTAGAACCAAATTAAATGAGAATGGAGAGGTTGATAAATTTAAAACCAGGTTAATAGCAAAAGGCTATGCTCAACAATAAGGAATTAATTATAACGAAGACTTTGCTCCGGTAGCGAGGTGGGACACAATTCAGATAGTCTTAGCTCTAACAACACAAAAGGGGTGGAGTGTGTATCAACTAGATGTTAAAAGTGTGTTTCTTCATGGTGAATTAACAGAGGATGTGTACGCAGAACAACATTTAGGTTATGTTCGAAAGGGTGAAGAAGAAAATGTCCGCACACTTAAGAAAGCTTTATATGAACTAAAGCAAACACCCCTAGTTTGGTATGGCAAAATTGAAGCCTATTTTGCTAGGGAAACATTTGAAAGATGAATCATGATCATACTCTCTTTGTCAAAACAGATGGTAAAAGAATTTTAATTGTGAGTTTGTATGTTGATGATTTGATTTTTAGTGGGAATGATGCAAGCATGTTTGAAGCTTTAAAAAGTCAATGAATACAGGGAGAAAGAGCATGTCCGATTATATATTTTTGCTGTCTGGTGGAGCAGACTCATGGGCATCAAAGAAATAGCCTGTTGTAACATTGTCCACAACTGAGGCAGAGTTTGTGGCAGTCTCCTAGAGGCGAATTCATACATTTCATATTGGTGTGGCTAAACATAAGAGAAACTATGAACTAAATTATATTGAAAATAAGAAGTAATATTGGTTAATGCAATACATTTACAATGAAAATCGTTTACCATCTATTTTTGAAAATGAGCTAAAAATAACATATTTGTTAATCATTCTAAAACATCTCTTTCTTTAAAAGTTACAAAACATTCATTTAACCATTGGTCACTCTTTTTGTTACATAGCCGACTCTTCACAAACTTCATAGTTGAAAAATACGTTTCATACTTGTAATTACAACCTTCAAGACTATAGCCAACTTCAGAAGCTTACAAACCATATCAAATGTTATACACTTATTTGTTTCCACAAGTTTTGCATAAATATTTGAAAATCCTTTTAACTTAGCAAATTTTAGGTCACGTCAAACATTTCTAACATGATTCTCAAGTTGATGTCCCACCACCACTTTCGACAGATCTACTAAATTATTTGGATAAAGTTTAACTATCCTCAATAATTTTTACACATCAAAAGCTACAAGTTATGATGAGAGACTCAAACATGAAACACATTGAAAAAGTTAAGTATTCTCTTCATCAAACTTAGTGATCTTATCGGGATCAGAGTGATCTTCAATGGTCTGCAATACTTGGACTTCTACGATTGTTGAAGTGAGTGGAGGGTGTACCTGCAAGGTACTCCGATGCCAAAGTAAGGTTCAGAGTAAAAATGGAAAACACAGAGTGTAAGTGAGTAGAATTGAATACCCGGCCCTCTAGTGAAAGAGAATATTTATAGCCCTCAATGATGGGCCAAAGTCCCTATTTTGGGCCGGATTCCCAGGCCCAAAAAGGAGACTCCTAGGATCCTACGAGGATATATGAGACCAATTCGTGGTCTCTATCTTGGTTCAACTGTTCCGTGATTCCCGAAGGATGGAAGACTCGTTCTTTTCGGAGGCCGGATGACTTCGTGATATTCGGATGAACGTTGGAAATATATCCTTGTTGATCTCGTGGAGGAGATGTCTTCGATGGGCAGGTGGAGAAGGAGATCCTCGACAGGTAGGAGGAGATCCTCGACGGGTAGGTGGAGGAGGAGATCCTCGACGGGCACGCATGGGAGAGGAGATCCTCAACGGGCACGTATGAGAGACATTCCCCAACGACCATAGCAGGTTGGACCACTGTAGTGGGTCTTCCTCGTAAGAGAGTTGGGTTGGGTCTTACCCAACGACATACTAAGCGCGTTCCCAGTCTAGAACATGATCCCCCCAAGTCGTTGCTCCTAAGTAAAGGAGTGATAACTTTAGGTCAGCTCGTGTGTCGAGGAGGTACTGACACCGAGGATCTCCGTGGTGACCCTCGTGTCTCCGATATTCAATCCGAGGTTGGTCGATAAAGACGCGGGCATCCGCTTTCAGTCCAACCTATACAAAAGGGGATGTGATCATCCAAATTAACAATTTTCCTTGCAGAAAGGGGGATGTTGTATAAGTATTATGGTCGGGAATTATGGTGTACCCTCGGAGAGTGTTCTCGTGATTCTCGTAGTTGTACTGCAGAGGTATGCCCGCGAAGGGCGAAGTCTTCCTTGCTCTTCATCCAAAGAGTCGAAAAGTTTGGTCAGCGCTTACGCGCCCCATTTTCATAACATTTGGACAATGGGCTCAGCCCAGTTTATTATGTAATATTTTGACAATATTGGCCTTCGTGGTCGGAAATTTTAAGTGTCGTTTATAAATATATGCTTATATACTCATTTGTTGTATGCTTGATTTGTTACGTATAATTTATTTAAGTGTGGGGTTCTTGCTCGACGAAGTTAGTGCTCGACGGTGTGGGGAACATGTCGAGGAAACAGAGTTGGTTCCTTTTGATAACGGGACTAAGACCGTGGTCGGGGTCCTGATCCCGTGGTGTGAACTATCCCATCGCGAGCTGGGTGTTCTGTCTCATTGGTACTGCAACGGCGGAGCTCGATCGAGGTATCCTCGTCGGTCTAAGGCT